AAAAAAAAAAAAAAAACAACTAACAAAGGAAACAGGCTTACAAAAATGAGTATTTTCCACTTTCCTCACCCAAATTGTTAAAGAATGTAAGTCTTGTTCAGGAAATATAGAGAGAAGTCATAGGTCCCACTCACACACCTGTAATATTAACATAGCTTACTTTCATTTGCTCTGTGTTTTCCTCATATTAAAAATGAAAGCACAAAAAATAATATCACACATCCATCCATTTACTTCAGCTCCTCCGTGGTAATAATATTCCCAAACATGCCCTCTGTGCTCTCAGTTCATGCACACTTGCTATTCAATTGCAGGTCATTAAGCTGCACACCTGCAGTGACTTAACTCATGCTTTACTCAGCTCTGAACCCCCCCCCCCCCCGCCCAGCAAGAGTGACATCATTCACTCTTCACACTCTCATTAAATATTTTCTTCTCCTCATGATCCTGTGTGCCAACTTCCCTGATGAATCCAACCTGTAATATTCAGCAGGTAACTGAAGAGCAACTATTTATTATACCAGCTACACACAAATATGTAACTATTTAGAAGGAATAAAAAAAGGTAATTTCCATCTTAGGTGTTGTGGGTGACCATTGCCTTGAAACAGGAACAATCTGTATGCAACCACATGTCACTAAGCACTTAAATGTGAGAAGAGATGCCAGAACCATTTAAAGCTTTTTCTCTTCACTAAACACCATTTTAACTAAAAATATTTACTATGGGGACAGGCTTCCCACATGAATATTGTGATTTTTAAATGCTGTCTGTATTTAGAGTCTCTTTAGGGACACACATGCTGTTTATGTACCGTAACCTGTATGTGCAGAAAGAAATGGAGTAGACGTGACTTTAAAGCCCACCAGCTGAAGAGCCCTTGGTGCAGGAAAATATCTGTGGGTAGCTTCAGTATCACTCAGGTTTTTTGTGATTTCTGTTTGCAAATGGGTTCATGGCCTGTTCCATGGAAGTAAATTTCCAACCATAAATGAAACTTTACAGGCAGAGATCCCCAGCAGGTATTCATCATGGAGAATTCCTTCTTATGACCTTCCATCTGTAGGGCTGAATTTATCTTTTATGTAACACCACTGCTGTAAGGATCACTTTCCCACATGTCATTTTTTTCCTTTTTTAAAGCCAAGGAGGCCAGGTCAGCCACTCTAAAAGAGTAAACCACGTTATTTCTATTTCCACCTGCAATTTAGGGCCAACTATTTAGTTCCACTATCCCTAATAGCGGGTTAGATTTTATGGTCAGTGCAGGATGATATTCTAGTCACAACCAGTTCAAAACTGGATTCAGATTACCTACCTTAGTGTGGAGTACTGGAGATTAAAGGTACCCAGAACCCACCCAGCCTGAGGATATTGATTGATTAAGAGGGAGGAGGTGGTGATGGCCTGTTATTGCCCACAGCACTTCAGATGTATGTTTTCTAAGGGGGTTAACGATGATCAACAATTCTCATCCCTCACAGATAGCTGGTAGCTGTGTAGAGCTGTGTTAGAGGCTAGGTTTTAGGCACGGTACACAATACTGCCCTTAATGTCATGAGAGCTACCATTTCTGAGTTAGCCAGAGGCTGGGGTGCAGTAAATCCAGAACTGTCCCTCCTGTGATATATATTCCCTTTACTTTCCATCCTGTGTGCCTGACCTTCATGCCCACAGAACTGCTTTTGAAAAGCAGTGCAAGGGTCCATGGCTTCCATGCTCCATTTTACATGGGACATGATTTATGAGTAGAAATCTTTTAAAACAGGATTTCAGGTGCATTTCCTTCAACAACAGGTTGACAAACATCTTATAAATCACAATTCAAGTGCCAAATTCCCTGCCAGTGATCAACAAATTTTATCAAGCTTTTATAGCCTTCAAAAGCAAATTCCACAGAACTTGTTCTTACTATAACTTGCTATGAGAAAATACCATTCAATGAGCAGTATTTTCTACAATGCCATGCACACAAACCATCTATAATACCTGCAAATAAATTATATCTTCTTCTGATCTAAAAATACATATTCATTATTATATTCTTGGAAGAATGGAGAAAAGTTCCTTAGTTACAAGAACACCACAAATCCTGTGCACCATGTAAACTGTCTCATTTTATGTACTGACTTTCTTCACATCTGTGTAAATAAAGCCATTGTTACAAGCACAAAGAGCTGTGGCATACAATACATGCAGCTATGAAACCATGAGTGCTGCTATGTATTGAGTCTTTAAATGGAAGTGGCACATCTGCTTTTGGCATAGGAGTGTAAATGAATCCAAGATGTTTATTAAAGAGTCAGTAACAACCTGTCCACATGCTCTTTCTTCCATCCAGCCCTGGGTTTGTTCTCGCTTTGTTATTTTCCTGGCAGTTAAACATGGGCTGTGCACACTGAAAGTATGTGGTGTTTCTTCACGTACGGATAACATAACATGTCACGTAATATTGAACAAGTATGTGATGCAGAGTGGTTTGAACAAAAATGTGAGCCAAAATGAGGTGGGGAGGAAAGGGTAAGTACAAACAGCTACAGAACAGTGACTGAAAGGTTTGTTGCTCTGCAATAAGGCAACTGTGTTTCCTAATACCTTTTGAATTAATGAGACCTAGATTTGATTTCATGTTCCAGCTCTTGGCAATTAATGAGCAATATTTGCAATAGTGAAGGATGATGAATATTTTCTTAGGAAAGTCAACAACTGACTTTGTATTTGCTGAAGGTATTTATACCACTGGGTCTACCTGAGCAGGCCTGGTAGGAGTACAGGCCTTTCAGCTCTTACATGGATTGACCAGCAGGAAAGTCAACGTAATATTGGCACTGGCCAATACTGACACTGCAAACTGGCCCTTTTTGTGAGCAATTGCTGGTGTTCAGCACAACCTGTAACATGTTCCTTTTCCACAGACTGAGGAGCTCTAGGTTTGCTGTAGAACAGAAGTCCAAGGACAACAATACCTTTTGTGGGCAGCCTCCTTCTTGGGCTACCTGCATGAAGCAGCACTTAAAAGACTGGACCTCAGGATGAAGGCAATAGCTCTGGGTTTGACAGTAGAGCCTGGGCCATGCAGTGTTCCTTCCCCTTCCACCAAAGAATGCACAGGAAAGCATCCTAGGAAAGGGAATCATCAACAGCTAGGCAGGAGGAGCAACCCATTCTGTGTCCCAGCGAAGGACCTACTTTGTAGCGTGTCTGAGTAACTAGAAGTATAAAGATGGATGTTTTATTCTTGACTTCTATGTGGGGATATTATAAAGTGATGCTGTTCTTCAAAAGCATTGAAGGAAACAAGACATGTCCTGACAGATACTAAAAGGAGGCTCATGTATTGGAAAGGCAATATGTCTTTTGTATGATGGCAGTGGAAAACCACTGTTTTAAGAGATAAGATTGAAAAACACTGTTTGATGGCAAATGGTTCAGGAAGGCTTGTTGTGCAGAAGAGGGAATAGAGGCTGCTGGAAGTGTGCCACCCAGTGTTTTATACTTGCACATTTAATTGCCTAGACTGAACGAACATCTTCTGTAACTGTTCATTTCTTCTTTGTTAAAGTGGCCAGGATATATTAAAAGGCTGAACTTCACATGAACATTTCAGTGATAATGTTACCTATCAGCTCTGTCCCAAAAGTGTCTAAGATTGCTGTAAATTTGTTAATTGGGCGTCTTTTCAGCTGTAGCTGAATTCAGCTGCATGAGTGACCCAGGCAGATTTGCTCAGCAATACAGAATTTGTGCAGTGATTTCCACTGCAGGCTAGAATTATATTGATCAGACTTGTTACAGCATCTTGTTATAATATTTTAACCAGGGAAAAAATATTAATTAAATTCAATCAAAATACTCAGGTAGCCCAGAAAAGTTAATGCTTTCTCCCATTTATTCCACCCACTCCTAAGTTTCTCCTTTAATTTTATTTTATTCCATATGCCTGATAATGGGACTTTGTGGAACTGAACCTTTTGCAAGTCACTGTGCCAGCTTCTTGGAGAATATCTCAGACAGGTCTCTTCATTTCCATTTCATTTTGTCATTCTATGGCTGAAAGATTATTTAAATGAATGCTTTTGAGATTCAATTTTTTAAATGCAAATGTGTGCTGCTTCCCTATTGAACTGAAACTATCAATACTTCTTTTTCCCTATGAAGAGCAGGATAGAAAGTAATATTCTCAGGGCTGGAGGTGAGTTGGGATGTTACTTTTGTGTGAATTTAAGCTAAAAAAGGCTGATATGTATAATGATAAAGTATCAAAATATTGGCTCAGTCTTCCTTCTCTCCAATATATGATTAAAGCAGTTCTGTATATTTTAAAGAACAGCTGATGCAGGGAAGGTGGCAAGACACAGCAGACCAGCCACACTCCCTCAAGGCATTCTGTATAAGCTGCTTAGGGGAGTGCACACAGAAGTGAGACACTACTTGCCTCCAGCAATCTTATGGTGCTCTATACCATCCTTGCTTTTGAAAGTTGTGAAGCATTTTAATTAGAAAGTAGGTGTCCTCTCATTTTTAATTTTTTTGGAAGCTGTGTTCCAGGAATCATTGTCTGAACTTAGAGGACATCTTAAAGGGAGTATCCTTGGCTTCCTTTAGAGTATACTGTATGCCTGTCTTCAGGCTATTCTTTTAGCTATCATGTCTAGAAATGCAGGGCTTTTTTTAAATCTGTGAATGTGGAAGTTCTCCAGTAATCACATGCTTCCTGGAGCAGGAGCTTTCTGCTCATCAAATATTGCATGATATGAAAAATACCATATCCCATGCCCCCAGCATCAAAAGGGTTGGCAACACCTGAGTTGCATCCATCCCTGATCTTTGCCTGCCAGACCAAGAGGCATGTGATGCTGAAGCACGTGGATTTTCTCATCTCTTCTACCATTGGACAAGCACTCATCTTGCAGCAAAAAATGCCACAGTCCATGCCCAGTAACACCCATGCCAGCAGTATGAGCAAGCAGACTTCAGAGACTGAGCTCCCCTTTTAATCACAGAAGTTGTTGTTTTCTCTCAGTGTCAGTGGTTGCTGTTTCAGCCTAGGCTTTTATATGTATATATTATTCCTGGACTAACGAAAGCTTGAAGTGCTGCTTGCCCTGCAATACCAAATTTATGGATGAGGAGACAACTTCAGCTTGCCAGGTGATAATTTGGCACCCTTATGTCAGTGTTAAAATCCCTACAGCTGTAAATATTTATTTGATATTAAATACACTCCAGCTAACACATTGTCATATTAATAAATCTAACCTTAAATAAAACATGTGCTCTCCACCTTTTATTCAGACTATAAAAATCTTGATTCTTGCTCTGTGCATTCTCAGCTTATTACTGAGAAAAGCTTGTTTTCTTTTCTAATACAACATTCTGCTTCTTGTATTTCACCTCTTACAGCTTTTGCAAAGTTTTGGTTTGCTAGGACAAGCACGGTGAGGGCATTAGGACCAAGAGAAAGACGCACACATTGCTCTGTATTATGTCTGGCAAAGTGCTTCCTGACTGAGTGCTGTAGTTATGTGTGAAACAAAGTCAGGGACCGACTACTTCTCATCTGTTGATCACAGTTAACTTGAAGCCTCAGAACGGGGGAGAGCTGTCAGATCTGCTTTCAGAGATACAGTGCTTCAATCCAGGCAGCATTGGAAACTTTGAAGAAGCAGGATCTACTCTGGAAGGAAACTATGAGAAACGGGACTTCTTTCAACTTAGAATTTTAAAAGGGGAAAAAAAAATCAAAGCTTTAGCTACTCTTTCAATCAGCAAAGCATGCACTTTCCTAGCTAAGCTGTGACTCCGTGTAATAAAGGATCTACTTTATCTCACTGGATCCATGCTACGTTTTATTACAGTAAGTACAATATTAATAGGAATGTTATAATTTTTTTTTCCTGTAAATAGAGAGGAAAGTATGAAATGGCATCAGTGAAATGTGCAGGGAGAAAAAAAATCCTCTTGGCAGATAGTGAAAACCAGGGCTTTTGTGTAACCCGAGGACTGAAATCTGAGGAAGATTCAAGTGATATTTAACATGACCATCTGTATCATTTTGTCACCAACAGTATGTTCTTGAGGAAGAAGTGCAGATATGGATCACGTAAGCTGCAGTTTCTCTTGTTGTTTCTGATGCTGGGTTTTTTGCTACTAATGGTTACAACGCTGAATCCACCTCCCAGCAACCAGAGCAAGGAAGGGACTTTCCAGCCTGTGGAGTTCAACCCCCGGGAAGGGTATCAGATGGACTTTGTGGAGACCCAAGAGATGCTGGAAACCCAGGAGGAGAGCCAGCAGTATTACCCTTTGGATGGTCTGTCGCCTTTCATCTCCCTGCGGGAGGACGAGCTGATCATGGCCGTCGTGTCGCCCAGCGGCAAAAGGAACCACAGCAAGGCCAGGAAGGGCTATCGCGTGGTGAAGCAGCAGAGCCGGCGGCCGGAGGGGAAGGCAGAGGGGGGCCCCGAGTCGCGGCCGCTGCCCCTTCCCCTGCAGGACGGGCGAGCGGCTGCTGCGGGGCAGCGCCCGCTCGGCCCGGGGGCGCACGGCTTTAACGCCGAGCTCAGCGAGCGGATCGCGCTGCGCCGGGACCTGCCTGAGGTACGGCACCCGTTGTAAGTAAAACACCCTATTTCACTTCTGGGGGAAACCCTGCCTCCTTCCCCGCCGCCGCGTCCCCCGAACCTCTCCTCCTGCAAACCCCGCACCTCTCTGCCTCTAGACCTCGCGTCTTTCCTATCGAACTCCCCGTCCGGGTCGGGCGCTCCGCTCCTCCGACCGGGCACGCTCTCAGCCTCCTCCGGGAGGTGGTTCGAGCCCTCAGAGCCGGCGGGCGGCAAAGGCGGAGGGGGCACGGCGCGGGAGGGGCAGCTGGGGCTCGCTGGGTGCGCGCAGCAGCGGCGCGGAGCACAGCGCCCGTGGGGGCGGCGGCAGCGCTGCCGGGGCACCCCGCCCGCGGCCCGGCCCGGCCCGGCTCCGCTTGGCCCGGCCCGGCTCGGCTCGGCCCGGCCCGGCTCGGCTCGGCTCGGCTCCGGCCCGGCTCGGCTCGGCCCGGCCCGGCCCGGCCCGGCTCGGCTCCTGCTGCGCGCCCTGAGGCCGAGCGGGCGGCAGCGCCCCCTACCGGCGCCCGCGTCACGGCAGGTGCCGGGCGACGCAGGGCAGGGAGCGCCCCGGGCCCCGCCCTTGTCCGTCCGTCCGTCCGTCCGTCCGTCCGTCCGTCTGTCTGTCCGTCGTCTGTCCGTCCGCCCGTCTGTCAGCCTGCTGGGCTGCAGAGCGGGAGGGAACCCGCGCCGGACTGGCGAGCAGGACAGGCGGCTTCCCTCCTCGGCCAGGCGCACCTGCCACGGCGATGGGGTCAATGGGCTTACCAAGTGATGAATGAGTGAAGAGCTGGGGCTTTCAGCTCTTCCAGGGCAAAAGTGGCCCGATGGTCACTCATAAATGTGGAGCCGACTCTGCACTGGTGTGGCCTCACTTTTTAATAAATATTGTGTGCAGTTTTGGGCACCACAATATGGGAAAGCTATAAAGCTATTAAAGAGTGTCCAGAGGAGGACAACAAAGGTGGCAGTGGGTCTGGAGGAGAAGCCAAGTGAAGAGGAGCTGAGGTCACTTGGTTTGTTCAGCCTGGAGAATAGGGGACACCTCATTGCTGTCTACAGGTTCCTCACAAGGGGAGAAGGAGGGGCAGGCATGGATCTCTTCTCTGTGGTGTCCAAGACAGGACCCGAGGGAATGGCCTGCAGTTGTGTCAGGGGGGGTTTAGACTGAATATTAGGTAAAATTCTTCACCCTCTGGCTGGTTGGGCACTGGAACAGCTCCCCAGGGAAGTGGTCATGGCACTAAGCCTGAGAGTTTGGACAATGCTCTCAGGCAAATGATGTGACACTTAGGATGTCCTGGGCAGGACCAGGAGTTGGACTCAATGATCTTTGTGGGTCCTTCCAACTCAGAATATCCTGTGATTCTGTGGCAATTATTGAAAGAAAACTCCTGGGAGAAAGGAAGGTGGAGATTGGTGTGTCAGACAAGCTCTGCCAACGCCACCATATCTGTTAGCAGCCAGGCTATAAGGCCACTGTGAAAAAATGTTGCATTTGAAGGCCCAGGTGTTACATTTGAAGTCTGGAGACTTGAGAACCAGTTGCCCCAGTAGCCCAGGAGGGGCTGCTCATCACACTTCTTAAAAAGGATCTGAGGTGTATCTACTATCAAGCTGTTCCAGGGAAAGTTCAGGTTGAACATTCTTTTCAAAGAAAAGGCAATTAAGCATTGGAATTAAATGTCCAGGGAGGTGTGGAGTCACTGAACCTGGAAGTGTTTAAGGAAAGACTGGACATGGCACATAGTGCTGTGGTCTCGTTGAGAAGGTGATGATCAGTCAAAGACTGGACTTGATGATCTCAGAGGTCTTTTCCATCCTAATTGATTCTATTATTATGCTTCCCTTCTCAGGGGGAGGGCAAGGGTTGTGTGCTGTCTTGTCTCCTGTAACAAAAACAATTGTAGTTTTCTCCCAGGACACGGCAGAAAGATGCAATGGAAAACATTTTAAATCAGACACTGAATGATTTTTTTTCTAGTGTTCATTTTCACATGTTTGAAGACAGCTGGCAGTCTTTAAGGGTACAGTCTCAAAGAAAGAGACATGAAAGAGTGTTTTCTGTACTTATTGACTAGGTTCAGTGTTAATTTGGTTAACTCCATTAAATAATGACATGGTGATATTATTTCAGTTATTTTTTTCACTGCTAACTCTTCAAACTATGTAACATTAAAAGAAGGAATGACTACCCTGGTTTACTGCCTTTGGTTGAAAAACAAAAATCAGTTTTACTTTGGCAGCTGAAGGGCCATCCAACAAGCTTTAGTTAATTCTGATCTTGGTAAAATTTAAGCCATGGTCTCAGAGCTCCTGGGTGGATTTTGCTGTCTCACTAGTTACAGCCTAAAGAGTTATCAACACCACAGCTTACAGAGTCCAGAAACCCCAGATGTCAGCATCTGAGGCTGATTTAAATCCAGATCATAAACCTGGAGCAGGATACATCTAAGCCAGACCTGTCCCTTAGGTCACAACACACAAACCACAATGATGATTTTTAGGTGTAGCTTACTCTGGGGACCTGGCTCACAACTGTGTCAGTCCAGTTTTACAGCAGTGTAAAAAGAGAGCAAACCAGAATCAGATTGTCTATGTCTCTATTCATTTTGCATCTTGTTCTTCATCACAATGTCTATTATTATTGAATTAGAGGGAAGCCAACCAGTTAGAGATGTTTCAGTGAGTTACCTCCAGGGACTCAGTCTCCCTCATGTCACCTGAAATTGGATAACAAATAATTCACAGAAGTAGCCCATCCTCTGAGGTACCTTCATCCCTCAAAGTGCTTTCTGATGCTATCAGTTGCTCCAGCTGGGACTGACACTCTCCTGGGACACCTGAATCAAGCCTGCCATTGTGACTTTTATGATGGGGTTCTGCTCAAAAGAAAGGTCTATTTTCCTCTCTTGGGTTTGAGTGTCAAATGATAAAAGAAACTCACAATGTATCTACAAAAGTTTTAAGTTTCATTACCAAAGTATAGCTTCCTCTGGAGTGCTTTTTGGAGCTGAATCTCTATTAAATATTTTCCTGAAGGTGAGTGGGAGTCCGTGTCAGCTCTGCCTTTGCCTTGTCAGAATTGCTCTCTGTTCATTGCTGCATGTGACAATTCCTTGTTTTTCACAAATTACATTAAATCTCTATGTCTCATATCAGTCACAGCCCTGACTTTCTGAAATGCCAATTTATGACAGGCTATGAAACTGCTCCAAATTACAAGGAAGGTATTTTTGTATACCAGTACCCTTGTGCATTTTTGTGAAGATTAGATATCTATATTGCAAGTCTTTGCCAATCTCCATGGCAACTAAGCACTCGCCTCCAAGGTTATGTGTTCATCTTTTCCAATTAAGATTTCACAACAGTCTTATTTTCTTGCTATAACCACAGTACTAGCAACTAGGTGCTAATAGCTATAGAATGTTTCTGGTTAGAAGCTGCCTGGTAGTAAAAGAACTGCATCAGATCTTCACGTTTCTTAATTATTTCTCAATTCTACTGCTTGAAAATATTCACTCTCAACTCATAAGAGCATTCTTTTCTTGATCCTGATGGAAATGGAAACAATCACCTATATGAAATTGTGAGGCAACAGTATTGTTGATTACACAAAATTAGTAAACCAAGGACAATACAGATTAATTAGAGTGTAAAAATAATCAAGAAAATTTTCCTTTCTATGCAAAAAAAAGTAATGTGAAATATTGAAAAATACAATAAATTATTAAGATTGTGCTAATTTTAGATATATATTCCCAGAAGTGCATCTGTAGTAACCATTTATGTGTATTAATCATTCAGACTATGGAGTCTCTTAAGTGATTAGCAGCTTTGTGTCTGAATAGTGTCTAGCAGCATAGAACCTCAATCCATGAACAGAAGCACTAGGTAAAACATTAATAAACAGAAATACTGAAATTATATCTCTTACATTAATTTCTGCTGAGTAGCCAATTGTTTAAAAACCACTGTAAAATCTGTATAATTATTTGCTTGGTAATCCAAAAATGCTCAAATAACAATGGACTACATTCAGCCAATTGTGTAATTCCTTGAAGAAATTCTTGCTGGTGGAGATTAAATTTGTTAGGACATTGAATGACGGTTATTTGGGAAATAAAAAGATTTTTTAAATGTGCTTTCTAATGTCAGCAAAGAGGTATATAGACATAGTCTTTGCATATCTACAATGGGCATTTGAAGGCATTTTCTGGAACAAGTGCACCCTCACACCAGAATAAATGGTTTCCATATGCAGTTTCTATGAGGATGAATAGGAAGTGTTTGTCATCTTTAAATGTTTGAGTTATTGTGGTGGTTTAACACCAGCTGGGAATTAAACTTTCCCCTGTTCCCCTCTGGTGAGGGAGGGACAAAGGAGAGACTGTGGGTTGAGATAACAATTTACTGAAAGCAAACAACAATGGAGTAAGAAACATACAGTGACAGCAGCAATACTAATTACAAAAGTATACAAAAAGAGCAGGTGCTTTACGCACAAAAGGCATTCACCACCTTGCCTTAGCTCTGCATGGCCACTGAGACAAAGACAAGGTGGCAGGGGGACGTTCCTGTGTCTCGGCAATGGCAGTGGTTGTTCCAGAGACAAAGACAAGATGCCAGGGGGATGTTCCTGTGGCTTGTCAGTGTATTGCAGTTATTCCCGAGACCAAGACAAGATGGTGGGCCCTCTCATTACCCAGTTCCACATGGCCTCCTGAGACAAAGGCAAGAAGGCAGACTCTCCCTGCAGGCAGTGTTCCCCAAGCCCAAGACAATGAAAAACAATGACAGAACAAACGCCCAAAACTGGATTGTCCACATTGCATCATGCCACCCACTTCCAGACTGCTCTGCTGGTTCAATTGCACACTGACTCCCAGCTGGGAATCTCATTCAGCAGTGATTAATTTTTATTGGAAAAGCAACCTGTACAAACCTTATAGTAAAAATACATTTTCTTTCTTAATTGTATCTATATTTGTAATCATGGCCCATATAAGGATCCATGTCATTGCTATAGTGGACTAAGATACTGGCTTCATTCACTAGGATCTTGGTCAGGTAATCCACAGGTACACTGATGTGTTGTGCAGATGAGTTATTTAATTTTTTAGTCTTAATGGTACTGCAGTTGTTTGCTTTTTTCTCTCTTACTTGTGGAATGTGGAAATTAGTGGAAGCTGGCTGATCTGCTTTATCCCTTACTCTGCTCTAATTATCTTCACTTTTTCTTTATGTTCTGGACTGTTTCTGTTTGTGGTCTGGTTTCTGAGGCAGACAGAGCAGGAAAAAAACTATCCCAGAACTCAGGAACACTTTTCCTCTTTTTGTATTATAATTTTGATAGTGCCATTCCCATATTTTCACTTCATATTCCAGTTTTGGACACCTTAGTACTTCCTTTTCTTAGAAATGAGTTGAGATCTTAAACTGCTCTCCACCCCTGAAGATTTAGGTGCTGCTTGCAACTTTGCTCTGAGAAAAAAAATTAGCCATTTGTTCCAGTGTTTCCAGTGTCTTCCTCATTTCACCCATTCAGGTGCCTACAGCAAAAATATGACTCCAGTCTGCCTACTGCTAGTGTCATCATCTGTTTCCATGATGAAGCCTGGTCTACTCTGCTGAGAACTGTGCACAGCATTATGGATACAGCCCCAAAGGCCTTCCTCAAGGATATCATCCTAGTCGACGATCTCAGCCAGCAAGGTAGCTCCCATTTCTCTCTATGTGAGTTATTTTTCCAAAACTCTGGGGAAGAAACTGTCCTCCTCCAAGAAGTGTGTGAGGAGAGGAGAAGGCAAAGAAGGACTCTCAGGAAGTGAGCTAAGCACAGCCCAGAGCCCAGGTTTCACTATCCATCCCTAGAATTTAGTGTAGCCTTTTGACTTTGAAATATGTTTCTGCTTTTCCCCCACATAATTTACAACCACTCTGAATTTTCTTACTTTAAAATAAGATCACAGTATGCAAATCTTAGGATTCCCACTGGACCAGATCTGCTGTTATAATTTCCAGACTTGGATTTTGGCTGAAGCATAGAGTGGAAAAGTCCACATTGCTAAAGTAATCTAAAGTGCTTGGGAAAGCCAAACACCTGTAGTATCTCACTCTCATCTGTGTATTTTATGAGATGATGAGAGCATCCACCTTTTGCTGAAAACAGGAAAGGAGGCTATTAAGATTCCCACAGGAACAGCTTCATAACTTGTGAATCTCAGTTTCCATTAGTCTCCACTTCCCTTTGACATTATGCTGCTGTAGAAATATTTGAAATGTGACCTACTTGGCCATTTAAAACAAATGTCCCTGAAACATTTTGCCAGCAAGAAGTAGCATCTCCTACTACATGTTTCTTTTCTATAACAGTTTGAATCAAAGCTAAAACATTTCAGTGACTGTTCTGTTTCTGACAGGGCCCCTGAAGTCAGCTCTGAGTGAATACATCTCTAAGCTGGATGGTGTGAAGCTCATCCGGAGCAACAAGAGGCTTGGAGTCATCCGAGGTCGGATGCTAGGAGCTGCAAGGGCTACTGGGGATGTGCTCATCTTCATGGATTCCCACTGCGAGTGTCAGAAAGGCTGGCTGGAACCCCTCCTGGCCAGGCTCTCCAGCAGCCGGTAAATATCCCTGGGTATGCTCATTTCTGCTGAAAGGGAAGTGTTTGGAAAGTGTTGGGTAGTTTTTGTAGTCCTGCCTTGGTTATCTTCTTGCTTCTGGTCACATCTCTTTTGTTTTCTACTTTATCAGCCTATGCATCACTGGGATATGTGGGAAGCAGGATAGGTCACAGCTGATAACCCTCACTTTACACCCAGTGTAAATTTTAGAATTTGTATCCAGTTAGAGCTTAGAAACTTTAGAAGGCTTCCTGGTAGTCTGAATTAAAAGAGGCTTCAGTCTCAACCTGTTTGTGAGTCAGCAAACATCCACCAGAGAAGACTACTGCAAGACTCCATTGGTTTTACTTTTTAGCTGTCTCAGTGATGGAGCCGAGAATAAAATGCTTTGTCCTTCTGAGCCAGTTTGGCTATGTACCAATGTCACCTTTTGGCCACCATTTCTCTTCCACAGAAAAAGCTCAGACTTGCAGGGCAATCTAGGCAGCTCCAGCTAATCACAGGTACTTTCACTGACCCCAAAGTAACAGAGTAAGGTAGAGATTCATATTTCTGAGTATTTAATATTTAGGGTGGTTCTTAGGCTTGCTTTCTCATGTACAGCTGAGCTCATCTATGAAGTCCTTTGAAGACATTAAAACTACTGGAAATGTTTCTAGGCTTACATGTCAGTAAATCTTTTATTAAAGGAACTTTTTTGAAAGAAAAATGTGTACTTTAACTTGTCACTTGGAAAAAAAAATTGCTATACAGGGTGAAAAAAAAAAACCCTTTAAGCTCTTACTAGACTGTTAAATAGTAATGCTAAACACCTTTAAAGGCTGTTTCCAGGCACTGGAAGAAGCTGATTTTATGGCTTATTATGTTTGCTTACAAGAAAATTAATGTGAGCTTTTAGAAATTATTACATCATTTGAATGAAAACATTAAGAATACTGAAAGCAAGAGTAATGCTGTCCTAGAATGCCAGGAATATTCTTTTCAAAAAGGTTCTCCTTGGAAAAGCAGATTATTTTTTGTTTGCTGACAAATTAGGTGGTCTTCTATGAATATACTTCATGATTCTTCTGCCTTGAACTATAGTCTATTTTTGATGTTCAAGCAAAACTACTGTGTGTATCAATTGGCCAGTCCTTATTCAAGGCTGTTGAAATTGCTGAAATTGAAAGTTACAAAGAGTCTCAGAGGAGAGCTGTAGTGAAAGTAAAATTACAACAGCAAGAGAGAAGTTAGGACCCCACAATATCAAAAATTCACTGTCAAAAATTATCCCTCCTGAGGGAATGCAAAGCCTCCAAGTCTGCTGTCATTCAGAGTCTGTAGCACTGTCACCAGGAAGTGAGAAGGGAATTCTCTTCCCTTATAGGGCCCATATGCTCATTCACTACCCCAGGAGAGCAGACTTTAACAGTGAATTAACTAATATCTAATTGGATTAATGAAGCAAAGGTGGAAAACTGATTGGATAATAATATGGGTTAAGCTATCTCTTTCTGTGTGCTTTATCAGTCACTGTGTCTGACCCTGGAAGCTTTGTCTCTGCTAGTGAGGAGACATCCTCCATTGAGGAGGGAAGATAAGGTCTAAGGCACTTGGCAGTCACCTTCCCTTACTGTCCCTCTTTCTCCAGCTGAAGAATGGTGACAATTACACTGACTTGATAAGGAAATTAATTCATGACTTTTCGTAAATTGCTTGTAATGCTTGCATGGAGATCACCATGGAAATGGTAAAGCATTAGCATAGTCAACTTGGCTTCATTTAGCACTTGAGGAGCTGTTAAATTGAATCATGTGCACTCCCTGAGACTACTCAAGTGAGGAAAGCACAGGAAGTTGAGAGCGACTGGTGAAATATCCATCTTTCCTCTTCTTAATGTACCGATCAAACTGTAACTCATGCACTTTTGCTGGAGGGACAGGATGGAAAAACAATCACCTGGAGTGAGTGAGTTGTTTACTGGCAAGGACCAACGCAGCCTTTCAAAGCTCAAACCTTTGCAGGCACTTAAGGGAGCTATAGAGTGGTTTTAACTTTAAAAATGGTCATTAAGCCTAATTTTCTAGACTCCTGATCCAAGTGTGTCACTATTATTGCGATCTGTCTTAAAAGTGATGCTGAGAGATCCTTGCCCAGATTGAGATTTCACTGTGAGTTGAACATACAATAAGAGAGATACTCACAGTTTTTAGTAGACTGTAGGATAAATATAAGAAAAATTATCCAAGTTTTTCAGGTATAGAAATATTTATACAGAAATACTTGGCAGATATTTGACTTGTTCTAGGTAATGACATTTCATCTCCCTACCTGATGGCTTTATTTGCTAACCCAATCTAATTTATTTTTCTGAAAAAAAAAGTATTAAGTAATTCCAAAATCTTTGAATATACACAATATACACTTCTGAGCACCTTGACTGGGACTAGTTCTGTGAACCATGGCTAAAAAAAGGACTGGGAACCTGTGCATCAGCTTAGTATATTGCCTAGAGAATGCTTCAGTGGTTTCTAAAGCA